CGAATAGGTGGCTAAAGTATTTTCTGAATGATCCAGGTGCTTACCGTTACCAACGTTACTATTTTAGGTGCTCGGGTCGTAGAAGTTGTTAATTTCTGTCGTTAAAGGATACATGTTGAGTTATGATAATTTTTGAAATTTTTAATTTAAAATTAGAAACTTAAAAGTATATTTTTATTTTTTAAATAAACCCAAACTTTTGGAAATCTTCTAAAAAAAATCAAAACTTTGAAATACTTTATTATAATCCCTATACTAACATCGACCATCTTCGTTTGTCGATGTTGTTGTCGACGAACCTCCAGTCGATGGAACTGCCACCAATGACCTAGTCACCCGAAGTCACCCTAATTGACATATTTAAACTCGATGAACCTGAAACCAAAAATATCGTGAAATTGAAGCACTTGACGATAACCATGATGGAATGGGCAAGGACGGATGACAATGGTGACGTCGATGATGGTCGACGTGGTCAGTAAGAGAGGTTAGGGATAGAGTTAGAGATTTGAGATTTTTGGGGATTTGATCTTTTTTGTAATTTTTGAAAAAAAGGATTTTTTTTATAAATATAATAATTTTTAAATTAAAATTACCAGAGCATAACATGTGTCACTTAACGTGATTTTTAATGGTCGTTATGATCAGGACATTTGTAACGTTATACATCTGGATTATTCAAAAAAATACTTGCATTGTTTTTAGTCTAAATAAAACGTAAATGTATCTTACAAATAAATATTATTCAAACTTAAGAAATGTATACATGTTGCAAAGAATGTGGATAATTTAAGAAAACATGCTAAAACTGATATTGAATTTAATTGTTTCAAACATTAAGTGAACAGTCACGGGTCCATTCTATCAGATTGGGGGCCACAGATAGAAATGTAAAATCCACTTCTTTAGACTGCTCACATGATTACAAATTAATGATTCACATAATTTAATTAAAAATAATATTACTTATATTTATCCTTTTAAATAATATCATTTTACACATTATTAATATATAGTTGTATAAAATTGCATTACATTAAATCTAAACCAGAATATTAATAACTAAATTTATGATTTTCTTTTTTTTGAAAACAAACCACAACCGAATTTTTATAACCTTGAAAAATAAGAAAAAATAGGAGGCAGTTAGAGAAAATCCAGCCGGGCCAACGATAAAACCTCTTCTCGCTGGCATCATTAACCGCGGTTAACTAACTCAAGTTGGTTTAACCACAAAATATTATTATTATTTTCCCTATATAAAAGCCGTCCGAGTTTAAGCAGCTCCTCAGATTTCATATTCCTGGAGGCGTCTTGATACACGCCCCGCCCCTCCTTGTTTTTCTTATACTTTCAAGCAATTTTTGCTTCCATTGCTTCTAGAATTTCCTCTGGATATTGAAGAAAAAGAAAATGAGAGAATGCATCTCAGTTCACATCGGCCAGGCCGGAATTCAGGTCGGAAATGCTTGCTGGGAACTTTACTGCCTCGAGCATGGAATTCAGGTAATTTTCCTCGATTTGCTTACTTCATTTCTCTGCTGTTATATTTAATTTTCTCATTTTTATAATTATTTTGACATTATGATCTCATCGGTGCATATTTGATTTTTTTTAATTAACTGCGTTTCTGTTTTTAATTTAATTGGACTCGTTAAAATGGATATATCTGGATCAATTGAAATGTTAGCTGGACGATTTCCATTATGTTAGATGATTTAGGGTAGATATAAGGTTTATTATGTGGGCTGTGGTGGTGATCTTTTTAGAATTTTCGATTTTCAGCCTGATGGCCAAATGCCAAGCGATAAGACTGTTGGTGGAGGAGATGACGCTTTCAACACCTTTTTCAGCGAAACTGGTGCTGGGAAGCACGTCCCTCGCGCTATATTTGTGGATCTGGAACCAACTGTTATTGATGAAGTGAGGACCGGAACGTACCGCCAGCTCTTCCACCCTGAGCAACTCATCAGTGGCAAAGAAGATGCTGCCAACAATTTCGCTCGTGGTCATTATACAATTGGCAAAGAGATTGTTGATGTCTGCTTGGATCGCATCCGAAAGCTTGCTGATAATTGTACTGGCCTCCAAGGCTTCTTGGTTTTCAATGCTGTTGGTGGTGGTACTGGCTCTGGACTTGGATCTCTTCTCTTGGAGCGTCTCTCTGTTGACTATGGAAAGAAGTCGAAGCTTGGGTTCACCGTCTATCCTTCACCTCAGGTTTCTACATCTGTTGTAGAGCCTTACAACAGCGTGTTGTCCACTCATTCACTCCTTGAGCACACTGATGTCGCTGTGCTTCTTGATAATGAAGCAATATATGACATCTGCAGGCGTTCTTTGGATATTGAACGACCCACTTATACCAATCTTAACCGCCTTGTCTCTCAGGTAATGATGAGAATGCTGACAGATAATACCAATCTTTATGTTGCGAAATGTAATAGTTGTTCATAACTGTGGTTTTTTGGCATGTATGATTCAGGTTATCTCATCTCTTACAGCCTCATTGAGGTTTGATGGAGCCCTGAATGTGGATGTGACCGAGTTCCAGACTAACCTGGTTCCCTATCCTAGGATCCACTTTATGCTTTCCTCCTATGCCCCTGTTATTTCAGCTGAGAAGGCTTACCATGAGCAGTTATCAGTGGCTGAAATCACCAACACTGCTTTCGAACCCTCTTCCATGATGGCCAAATGTGATCCACGCCACGGAAAATACATGGCCTGCTGCCTCATGTACCGAGGTGATGTTGTGCCCAAGGATGTGAATGCAGCTGTGGCCACCATCAAGACCAAACGCACAATCCAATTTGTTGATTGGTGCCCTACTGGATTCAAGTGTGGTATCAACTACCAGCCACCAACTGTTGTCCCAGGAGGGGACCTTGCCAAGGTCCAGAGAGCTGTCTGCATGATCTCCAACTCAACTAGTGTTGCCGAAGTGTTTTCCCGCATTGATCACAAATTTGATCTCATGTATGCCAAGCGTGCCTTTGTTCACTGGTATGTTGGTGAGGGCATGGAGGAAGGAGAGTTCTCGGAGGCTCGTGAAGATGTCGCTGCACTTGAGAAAGATTATGAAGAAGTCGGAGCCGAGTCCGGTGAAGGGGATGAAGGGGATGAGGAGGAGTATTGAGGGAAGGAGTACCTTTATCCGTTTACAATTGTGATGTGTTTTTCTTGTTGCATTTGGATTGCATGTTTCCAGAGTTGAATTGCTGCATGGGTGATGTACAAGTTATTTGGTTTTTTCTATGAATGAAGTTACCTAATAAAGAAATGTGACCAACCCCCATAATTTATAATCGCAATTTCCATTTTAAAATTGCGGAAGAAGTGTTGTTTTATTTCCACATTTATAATCGACCAATCTATGTTAGAATCAGACCCGTGAGCATGTTGAAATCTCGGTGACTGAGATATAAATAAACCTAGAGCCCTCAAGTAGAGCACAAAGGAAGATAACACTTTCGAGCACGAGGTATAGGATGATCTTCTGAACCCTCCCGATTCCCTTGTCAAGGGTCATCGAGGCGGAGGCAGCAAAGTTCTTCCACCATATCGGCATCTTCAGTCTCCAAAAACAGCGCTTCCTTCACTTTCTCAATGCTCTTAAACGGGTTGCTTGTTTGATTTTTTGGACTGGAGAGGAGAGTATTGCGTTTCTTACTTCCACCCCCCTCCTTTCAGTTCAGTTTCTCCTTTTCTTTATATCCCTCAAATTCATTCCCGCCCCTGTGAAGAGACATGCCATGAAAGAGCTAACAAGAAACATCCTCTCAGTGCTCTTATTAGCTTCTTGCTGCATCTCAAATATCTTACGAATTTGTGGTCCTCTCTCTCTCTCATAAGCACGTGACCCCGTAATTTTTTTTTTGTAAGTCCAATGCCCCGCCAATAGCTTTCTCTATTTGTCTACACCGAGCTGTGGTGCTCCAATCCATCCATATTTAGGCGATTCCTTAAAAGAAACAGCATTGCCTAGCCTGCTCAACTAATGGTTTTTTTGGGGGTAACTACCATTCTTCCAAACTGGATTTAGAACGTCTTTGAAGAATGAGATCTAAAGCCTCCACCCACGTTATGATGGGGGTGAAACAATTTTGCCATTAACATTAGGCTCTCTGTAAAACCCATCATTGGTCCTGTAACAGGCAAATCAGAGCCAAAGCGGATTAGCTCAGAAGCAACAATAACAGTTGCCTTCAACGACCTTTACATAAGAGAAAGGGACTGACCCAGTATTTTATATCGGAAGGAAAACTTATAAAATTTTAAAAGTCATCCATTTATAAAATTTTACGAGCGTTAACGAATTATTAATAGAAAATATAAATAAAAATCTATGATAATTTGAAATTTTTAGGACCGACCATCCACCCCTTCAATCCATCCGGGGGTTCAAAGGCTATCTTAACTAGATTCAAAAATTTCAACTAGCAGAATTCTAAAGAACAACAAAGCATCAATTGGATAAGCATTAAACACTGACCATAACATCTTCGACGAGTCAATTTCTTTACAGCATAAGAAGAAATCCGCAATTTTGGCTACATGGGTTCAGCTAGTTACGGTTTAAAAACAAAAATCCTGATGATAAAGACCTCAAATTTTCAACCTTTAATTAGAAACATTAGAAGTATCACAACATGGAGAATTGTTGTAGTTTTTGCTTAATGACATTGGAAATGGATCATGAACTAAAGGTAGATAAAAGAATTTACTGAGAAGAGCTATCAAATCCAAGGAACAGAGCGTCATTGGGAAGAGATATATCTCCCATCTTTTTGTAAACGATCCTCAAATGATATCGAGAGAAAACAGGCAATGCTGGGCGTTTTGGTTGAACTAATAAATTGCTTGCAGTGGGTTGAATTGTTTATACATTTCAAAAAAAAAAAAAAACTGATACACAGTACAGCTGCAAAATATTCCGACCGTTCTAATCAGCAATTTCAACGTAAAATATGCAGAGCAATTAGCCAACAACGCTAGTATACAGGTTTAATTAAAAGAAAACCCAGCTAAATAGAGATAACAGCCTTCCCACGTATGTACGTACGTATGTTCAACCCAATAATTTACAGCTGATATCCATTTGATACCAATTCGATACAGACTCCATGTATCTATCAAACGTCAAATATGTGAAAAATTATTATACCAACCTTTCTCATCACATAAATTATAAGGCATAAGCTCAATTACCTAAATTAAATGTTTTTTTTTTGCGTTATATTTACACATTATGTGATGAGGACTTGTATAACAATTTCTACAGCAATCATCTGGCGGATATAGGCACTAACCTATACACCAAAATCACAAACCCATGGTTCTCTTTTTTCACTGTGATGCTCGAAAACTAGAAACCAGGATCACCGGCACAGCGTTTAGCAACCAATCTGGGACCGGGGATCCATCTATAAGGTGGAACAACAGAAATCACGGACTGCTCGTAATATATTATTTAAATATATCTGGAAATGACCACATTATGAATCGAGCAAAAAAGTCGGACTCCAAAAACTCGATATGTGCAGCCCGTCCAATGAACGAGTTTAAGTTCTTGCCATAAGCGGATGTGTCAAAGTTGACATCACATCGCATAAATACCCGATCTTCAGTTGTAGGAGCTCTTATCTGATCGAAGCAGGCATGCAACATTTCCAAAAATGCTTTTCCGTTTTTTGAACGATCCGTTGTTGCTGCCTGGCATGACTCGATTCTGGCCGAATGATATGGAACGTAACCATCCTGAGAGACAAACCATCTCACAACAACCTTAAACATGCATGTAATGAACCTTTTAAGTCATACAGTTATTGAAAGAGGTATGGCATACCTGGGGTGAAGAGAAGAGGATTATATTCTTGAAATTTTCCAGTGTTTTTTGCTGAAAGAAGCAAATAAACAATTTTAGGACTTCAGAGATTAAAAACAATAATCCTGACATTGATCCCAATACCTTACAGAGCTTGTAGAAGAAAGTGTTATAGATATCGGGGTCATCGGTGAAAGTGAGTTGATGGAAGCACTGGGTTCCTTTCAACTTCTTCAAAAGCCACAACCCAGAATTAAATAAAGAATTTGAGCTGTATAGATATCCCAAGTGTGGACCAGATAGAGATAGGTACGTATGAAGATATCTCAGGTAAGGTTCCATAACACTGTCTGCAGATGGAAATGCATATATCTAGCAGACATTATGAGATGGTAAAAACGGGAAACGAAGCTAAAGGACAAGAACGTATCTACCTGCTACTGCTGCTCTCATTATGATGTTTCCAATGGAGTGCCCCACAAAACTAAGTTTGATCTCTCCTAGTCGTCCATATCTTGAAGCTTTACCTATTTTCTTTTTAAGAAAATGGACCACTTCCTGCGCCAGCCTCAGTCCCATTTCTCTAAAGTCTCCAGATGTTTTATCCTCATTTGCCTCCGACATGAGAAACTCGATCTTGGAATCTATCAAAAGCCATTGGTTGCGAACAAGTCGCAAATCCAGATGATGCCCCTATTATATTCAAGTTGGGTTTAGACATTAATTCACTCACCAATCTGTCTCTAATAGGAACATGCTGAAGTTTACAAGGAAAAGAAAGAGTAAGCCTGGTAGACACTCATATCTTCAATTTTACAAGTCATAAAATTTACATCCGGCGTTTACTATAAATGTACTCCGTATCAAATTATTTATGGTAATATGCATTAAAACTACAACCTAAGAAAACAAGAATAAGAGAGCAAAACTTGCCTGAAATCCATGCACAAAGACAACAACCTTCAAATCACGGCATCTTTTTTCAGCTTTTCCTCTTGATGTCTTTTTCCCTTCTTCAGCACTAATATCATCATGCAAGGCAACTGAATCTAAGACATCCAAATTATTCATGTACGAGTTATAACTTAAACTACGATGAGGTGCATTCATAACGCGTTCTACAATTAAAATAGGAATTGCTGAAGGATCTCCAAATATTTGCATGTCTTGGATTGAATGACTGTTAATCTGTGGGCAAACAATCATTTCCATTAAACACCAGGGATAAGGACTATAACCATTAAATACAATAACTTACCTTCATTTGTGCAATACTCTGTCGATGAAGGTCAGCCTTTATCTCTGCCATATGCACAGGCTGTATTGCACAATATAAATTTCCCAAAATTAGAAATTGATGGAAAAAACTAGTGTTGCTCTCCTGAATGTGTAAGAAAATAGCAACATATTTACTCAAATGAAAATATAAACAAGTGTTCACATCATCAGATAGCTTCCACAAACTTGAACCCCGCTTATGCACAACACGGTGGTTTGTCTCCTCAAAGCCATCATTTATAGGATAATGAGGCATTTCAACCTTAGAGTAAACCATCCACGTTGACCATTCACTTTTTCGATCGTTAGCCCATACTTCGTGAAGGACATCCATTATCTTTGTTTTATTATCCCTGGAACGAAATGAAATTTCAACACTTATAATAAGCACACATTCTGTGAAAGCTGTATTAAGGGGTTAAAATCATCTTTAGGGATGAAATGATAAATAAAGAGTTCATAGATACTGAGCAAAACAACCTACAATATTGGGCAGAAATTTGTTGACTAACAACAGCAACAGCTAGAAATAAAAATGTGTAGGCTAACCTGTGGAAAGTAAGAAAAGTGCTCCATAAAAATAACATCTGATCACCATATAGATTAAACATTCTAGTTACATCATCCTTGGATAAGTTCTGGGGCAATTGAGCACTTTGAAAATCTGATTCGCCATTAATTTTCTGATAAAAGAGAGGAAGAGATTGTAATTTTAATATATAAAAAACTATAAAACCGTAACAAAGTAAAAAAATAGGAATAAGACACTGATGCTGGGTAAAATAAAGCAAGGACCTCAGGACCATTTTGTGGCTTGCCTTGTCCGGAGACTTCATTATCAGCAGTAACCTGATTTTCTTGCAGAAATGAATCAAATAACCTTGTATCATTCATTGTGGATGTAAATTTAGTCAAATCAATTGCTTGGTTAATGGCATTGCCAAGTTTTTGTAGCTCTAAAATCAAGGTTTCACGAGCATCTAATAATGCCTTTACAATCATGGCCTGTTTCAGGTCACTCGAATCTGCTTGATTCAACTCCTGCTCGATCACAGGATCAGACTATCAGTACATAGAATATTGATTATCAAGGACAACAAGAAGCCACGTTAAAGAAATATGATGATTTTCCACAATGGTCAAGTAAATCCTTGAGAAGTTTTAATTATCTATCCCCCCAAACACACACACAAAAACGAAAGTATTAAACGTATTGAATGTCTAGCCTTCTTCATGCCAAGAAAAAAAAAAATTTATTGAATGTATAGCCTTAGTCAAGCAGATTCACAGATAGACCAAGTCATGGTTAGGGATGGGTTGTTGTATATGCATATTCAATGTTTAGAACAAACCAGAGTCGAACCACCAATAGTTTCACGAGCAACATCATCAGCGGCGGTAAAAGAAATGCTGAAAAAATTCAACAGGTAAAGTTACTTCTACATATCAATAGAGCACAACTTTATAAATAGAATCACCCCTTTCCCTTTCTTCATCTCCACAAATAACCACCCATCTCTAGAATCTATGACAAACCTGGGTACATTCATTGAGTCTTGGATAGAACCAGCTTCTAGGAGAGTGATGTGAACGCTTACATCCACAAGAACAGCATGAAACGCATCAAAATAAACAGGGCAATAGGAATGAAGTCCTAAAAGAGCTTTAGAAGGGATCCGAAATTCATGGACAGCGGCAGGGCAACTATATGGAGAAGCCTGAAACTCAGAACTGAATGCAGAGCATTCGGATCGATTATGGGTTCTTTTAACTTGAAGAAAGAAAATAGCAACACCCTCGTACAAACAACAGAAGTAAAAGCTTTAGATTTTAGTTGTGCAGTACTGACAAAACATGACTTGTCAGTTGTCACCTTACCCATTCTCCATCAGAGGAGCATATAAAAGCTCAAACTTCAAAATGATAGCTGATGAGGAAGGCCACTGTCAGTGTCAAATAATGCTACATCAGCACCATAATAGGATATAAGAAAATATTAACAAACCAAATGGTCAAAGCAATATTGGTGAAAAAAATAGAGAGAGATAGAGAGAGAGAGAGAGTGTCTTTCAAAAGCAAGTTTTTTGTCGCTAATCTTAGAGAGGTTCATGGAGGAATTACTTGGTCAGCTTTCGTTGATAATCTTAGCAGGAGTGTGCGTCGTAGTGATTTATGGGCTCGTTTTAGTCATTTTGGTAAAGTTATTAAGGTGTTCATTCCGTTTATCAATAAAAGACCGAAGTATAAGGTAAATACGTTTGCGTTCGTCCATTTCGCAAGCAAGGAGGATCTGTGTAATGCAGTGGAAAAGATGAACAACGTCTTTATTGATGGGAGGAGGATTTCAGTGGTTGTAGCCAAATATCAGAAACTATCTGGGTCAAAGAGGCAGATAGATGAGAGGGTTGATGGGGTAAATAGTGTTGGTATCAGTGGGGAAAAGATTAAAAGATTGCCTTCTCCATTTGGAAGGGTGAGGAAGATGGAGATGCTGGATAAGTTTCATGATGGTAGGTCCTATAAGGATGCGGTTGTTGGGGTGCTTAAAGAGTCAGAGGGTGTGCAAGAAGGAAGTCATTTTAATTCGAAAGAGTCGAAAAACACTAAGGATGTTTTTATCTCAATGGAGGATAGGGTCTGGCTAAGATCGTGACTTACTGGTATTTGCAAATATATTTTTGAATTTCATGTTGTGCAGAAAGCATTAAGGAATGAGGGCATCAACGTAAAGGTTGTGAGGTGGGGTTTTGCTAAGAATGCGTGCCTGGTTGTGTTCCAATCGGTGGAGGAGAAGAATTTAGCGATGGAAGGAAAATGGGAAGCTTTGTCTTTTTGGTTTGAAAGGTTGGAGCCTGTATTGGATGAGGAAAGCATTCCCCGAGCTTTTTGCACGATCTCCATGATAGGAGTTCCTTTAAATTGCTGGTCCGTTCCGTTCTTCACTAGGGTGGTATCTAGGTGGGGTAAGTTAGTGAAAATCAAAGATGAAACTGCTCAGAGAGTTGATTGTAGAGTTGCGCAGATGCTTCTCAGGGTTATTAGTCCTTTTGACATCCCTGATCATACTACCATTACTACGAATGGAAGGAAATTTTTGATAAAAATTAAGGTTGATGGCGGGGATGATTTCTTTCCTGAATTTTCAGAAATGGCTGAAGAGGATGTTCCAGAAGATCCTTGGGTGGAGAGATCCTCCGTTTGGAGTCTAGAGGATGTTCAGGCACAGCATGGAGGTCACGTGGGTTGTCAGGAAATGTCAGAAACCCATAATAGGGTGCAGGAATGGGTCCTAGGCTCACAACTTGGTAATATCACATAATCCAAGAGAGTTGTCTCCTCTCAGCATGAAAAGTCAAAAGGCCTTTTTGAAAGTGAGAGAAGCGGGAAAAGTACGGGGGGATCTCTATAAACAGGACAAAGTTGACCAGGAGATTGGGCTTCATATAAGCCTTGGAGAACATAGGTTGAGTGGCTTGGATCAAGAAAATTGCCAATTAACAATGGGTCAACTTTTTTCTTCACCAGTTATAGTTAAGGATTCAGTAAGGACTGAAGATGGAGGGGGGTCTGCGGTTGATTTTAAGTTGATAAGTTCAAGAGCTAGTTCACAAACATGTTCTGCAAGTTCATTATCCATGAAGACTACTCCGGTTGGAAGGAAATTTATCAAAAGTCACAAGAAAATTTATTGTAGGTCGAATGATAGAAAGATCTGGAATCAGGTTGTGCAGGATTGTAATAATGTGCATGATTGCCAAGGAGAATTCACGAGGGGCATCCAAGGTGAATTGGGTAGAGCTTTAATTTCTAGAGGTTGTCTTTCTAAAATTTCAGAGGTTGTTGGTTGTTCGGTTAAGGATATGGATAGGTCAAGGGTGAACAGACCTTACAGGAGACTTAAAAGGTCTCTCATTAAGGAAGCAGTAGATCATGCTAGTGTTGATACAGTATCCTCTTCAGATTTTCCTTTGATGTTGGAGGAAGCAATTGCTATATGGGAAGTTAGTAAGATATTGGGAATATCTTTCAAAGAGGGGAATGAAGCTTTTCTACATAAGATTGTTGAATTGGAGAAAGGGTTGAGTGGGGCTACTTGACCTCGAGCTATGTCCTTGGGATATTTTGGGTTATATTTATTTTGAGTATCATGACTAAGCTAAGTATCTTGTCTTGGAATGTTAGGGGGTTGGGTAAAAAAGAGAAACATAGGGCTGTGCAAAAACTTGTTTTTGAGAAAAAACCATAGCTTCTTTTTCTTCAAGAAACAAAACTTGAAAAGCTACCAAGATCTTTTTTAAGGAGAAGTGGTTTGAATAGGCTGCAGGGGTTCGTTGAGTCACCAGCTATAGGCTCATCTGGTGGTATTTTAAGTTGTTGGGATGATAATACTTTTGAGGTAGAATATCAACATATTCATAGGAGGTTTATTGCTGTCTTTGGAAAGTTCAAGTCCAACCATCTTAGGTGTGGCTTCATAAATGTGTATGGTATGTCTGTGGAGGAAGAGAAGGCTGGTTTTTTTTATGAACTGGAACTGTTTTTAAACGGGTTCAATATCCCTTTGTGTGTGGGTGGGGATTTCAATGCATACTTAAATGAAGAGGAGAAGTTAGGTAGAGCTCAGAACAGGAATTCATTGGAAATTTTCAATCACTTTATTCAGTAATCAGGGCTTATTGATTTGTTACTTGTTGGGGGGAATTTTACCTGGAGCTATAATAGGGAGTTGCCGACTTTTGTAAAATTAGACAGGTTTTTGGTGAATTCTAATTTTTTAGCAGAATTCTCCGGTATCAACCAGTTTTTATTGCCTAAATCTACCTCTGATCATAATGCAATTATTCTGGAGATTGGGGAAGAAAATTGGGGTAAGAGACCCTTTAGATTGTTTAGCTATTTAATGACTGAGGATGGCTTTGAGAAGATGGTTGTTGAGTCTATTAAGGTGTTCAAAGAAGAGAAGTCAAGTGCTGGAATTTTTAACATTCTCAGGAATACAAAGACTGCTATTAAGAGCTGGTATGGGGATAGAAAATAGTTTCCTCGAGTGGACATTTATGTTCTACAAGACAAAATTCATCAGATTAAAATGAGGATACAACAAAATCTGTCTCCCAATGCTGTTTTCAATTCGACAGAGTTGAGGCTCTTGAGAAATGAACTTTGGAGACTTCTCAGAATCGAGGAGCAAATTTGGGTTCAAAATTCGAGAGAGAAGTGGGTTAATGGTGGAGACCGTAATTCTAAGTACTTTAACACTTGCGCATCTGTTAGGAGGAGGCAGAATTCTCTGCTTGCTCTCAATGTTGATGGTGTCATTACTAATGATCCAGGTACTATCAAGTCCAGTGTCAGGGAACATTTCTTTAAACCTTTTAATTGTTGTTCAACATTAGATGTGGAGGATATTAAGTTGGACTTTTCGAGAATTTCTATGCAACAGAATCTTTTGTTAGAGAAGGAGTTTACAGAAGATGAGATTTGGGAGACCATTAATTCTTGCGATAGTGATAAAGTCCCTGGGCTAGATGGGTTGAACATGGGATTTTTTAAGAAGTTATGGTCTATTTTGAAAGGTGAGATGTATAAGATCCTTTCTAAGTATCTTTCGAGAAGGATGAGATGTTGCATCAATGATATTATCAGTGAGTCTCAATTTGCTTTTATTCATGGGAGACAAATTTTGGATTGTTCTTTTATTGCTAATGAAGGAATTGATTTATGGAGGAAGAAAGGTTTGAAGGGTTGTGTATTTAAGGTAGACTTCAAGAAAGCTTATGACTCGGTAAATTGGGACATTCTATTTAAAGTTATGGCTAAGATGGGGTTCGGTTCAAAATGGTGTAACTGGATTCGGATGTGTGTTTCTACTACTTCGGTATCAGTTTTGGTAAATGAGGTTCCAACTGCTGAATTTCCTATGGCTAGAGGCCTTAGACAGGGTTGTTCCCTGTCCCCTTTGCTGTTTAATCTCGTTGGAGAACTGCTTCATCTGCTGCTCCGTAAAGTAGTATCTTCGGGTTTGTTTTGTGGTCTGGTGGTTGGTAAAGATGAGGCCTCAGTCAATTTATCTCATCTGCAATTTGCAGACGATCTTATCATTTTCTGCAATGCTTCAAAGACTCAGATTGTTAATGTTAAGAGGATTCTTCGTGTGTTCGAGGTTATGTCTGGCCTGAAGTTGAATCTGTCTAAAAGCAAATTATTTGGTATTAATATTAATGAGGAAGAGGTTCATCAGTGGGCTAATGCTATTGGTTGTTCAATAGGACATTTTCCTGCGAAGTACTTGGGGTTGTCTCTTGGTGCTAAGAGAAATTCTATGTTGTTGTGGGATCCGGTAGTTCAAAAGTTTCATTTGAAGCTAGCCGGATGAAAAGCGAAGACTTTATCAATGGCAGGGAGGCTGGTTTTACTGAAGGCAGTTTTGGGTTCCCTTCCTATTTATTTCATGTCCATGTTCAAGATTCCTTCATCGGTGATTGTAAAGCTTAATTCTATCATGGACAGATTTTTATGGGGATGAGGAGTTGAGGCCAAAAAAATCCATTGGGTTAATTGGAAAAAAGTGTGTTATGGAAAAAGTGTTGGTGGTCTTGGTGCTTTGGACATTAGTTATATGAATATAGCTCTATTAGGGAGATGGTCTTGGAGGTTTGCTAATGATAAAGAGTCAGTGTGGAAGAAGGTTATCTGCTGTAAATATAATATGGGTCCTAGTTTTCTGATGTTTAACGAGAAACTTCCTGCACATGTTTCTTGGATTTGGAAATCGGTGGTCCATAACCATTTCAAGCAAGATCAGTTTGGAGCTAAGTTTCGAAGTATGTTTAAAGTCTGAGTGGGGGGATGGAGGGAGCATCAGATTTTGGCTTGATAGTTGGGCACATGATTCCCCTCTTAAAGTGGTTTTTCCCAGAATGTTTGTGTTGTCTATAAACAAGAATGGGAAGCTTATTGAGTTTGGGGAGTTTCGGTCAATAGTGTGGTCTTAGCATGTTCATATGAGAAGGAATTTGAGTGACTGGGAATTGTCTTAGTATGCTGATTTAATGGCTTTGATCCATAATAACACTCTTTCTCAGGAGTTATCAGATGGGTTGGTTTGGTGTGGGAATGGGGAAGGAGTCTATATTGTTAGTTCGTGTGTTAAGTCTTGTTGTCCTACTGGTTCAGCAGATCCTTTTTGGAAGAAATACGTTTGGAGGGGTTTAGTGCCCCCTAGAGTGGAGGTCTTTTTGTGGCAAGTGGTGCTGTAGAGACTGCCAGTAAAACTTGAGTTACAGAGGAGAGGAGTCGCAGCTATTGTTGATGTTGCTTGCCCTTTTTGTGAAAAGGCGAATGAAACCTCATCACACTTATTATTTTCTTTCTTGGTGGTGTGGTCCTTATAGAAAAATTTATGAGTTTTTGGGGAGTTTCTTCAGTTTTTCAAGTCAATGCTCAAAGTTTTATGGTTGCTTGGGATGGATTGATTCCTAATTCTAAAATTTGGTCCTTCATTCCTGGGGTGGTTCTATGGACAATTTGGAAATGTAGGAATGTCGTTGTGTTCGAGGGGGGGAGGGTAGATCAGATTGATCTATTCTTTATGGCAAGATGTAGGTTGGCTGCTTGGTTCTTAGCTTACTACAAGGTTGTATCTATTCCTAAGGACTCTCTCATATGTGACCCTTCACTTGGGGATTGTTGCTCTTTCTCAAGCTCTCCTATTATCAAAATTGTGTCTTGGTCTCACCCTCCAAAGGGCTTCATTAAGTTGAATGTTGATGCGACAGTGACTGCAGACTGGATGAAGAGTGGTGTTGGGGGCATCCTAAGAGTTCACGATGGTTCGGTGTTGTGTTCCTTTCAAGAGGCTGCTGGTCCAGGTCCTCCTATTTTGATAGAACTTAAGGCTATTAAGAAAGGGTTATCATTCTTTGCTTCAATTCAGCAGAGTTTTAAGGACAGGCTAATTGTTGAATCAGACAATAAATTAGCAGTGGAATGGGTCAAGAATATCAACCGCTGTCCCTATATGTACTTAGACATTGTGACAGCTATTTTCGATAAGATTAGAGGTTTGAATGGTAGTATTAGATGGGTTGCTAGGTCAGCCAAATGTTGAGGCTGATAGTTTAACTAAGGCTGGTATTGGATAGATACGATGTTTTCGTTTGGTTGGTTGGGTTATCTGTTAGGCTTTGGGTTGGTTATCTAGACTCTATGGTTGTTTCTAAGTTTTTGTAACTTGTGGTTATCAATGAATTATTTAGGTACTATTTTCCTCCTTCCGCTGATTAAGGAGCACCTTGTGATCCTTTAATCATGAAGGGGATTTTTAACGAGGCCTACCATTCCTATAAAAAAAATGGTCAAAGCAATCAAAGTAGAGAAGCTTTTATGCATGTCCCTTTCAATACCAAAATCAAATGAAGCAAATACTTGTGAAATCACAACTTTAAGGAAAATCCACTGTCATTTCCATTTGTCTTTATGGTTGGAGTAGAGATTATATTATCTATTAGCAAGAAAGGAGCTACGGCTAAAGGGAGTGTTGTGTGTGCACATTGGATATGTGCAAAGAGAGATTGTCTACCTCATTTTCCTTAAGAGGTAAATCAAATGCAACCATGATAAATAAAAGAACATCCTGTCTTGCATATTTGATTCGAAAATGCTGCGTCACAAAACTGTTGTCTTTTTCATCAATCTTCCATACTCCATATCCACCACTCTCACAACCATAGTTCGGAGCTGCAATGTTTTTCTAGTCTTAATTAGGAAAAAATTCTGTTTGAGAAAACTATTACATTATACTTTGAGAGCATAAACAAACTATAAAATGAGGAGAAAACAACATATAGCTCCAAATATATTCACCATTAAACAAGAAGAAATTCAATGATTGGCCTTAAATTAAGTACCAAAGGAAATTAAAATTGTTTGCTTCAGCTGCATCAAAAATACTTGACCAATCAATCAACTAGAATAGCATATTCTTTCATAAACTGTAAGGTCCCTATTTAGGTCTCTGGAGGGACCAGTTTGGATACAAAAGACTATAATATATCAACATTTGAAATGTTTATAATATAAGCAACAACAAATAGCAAATTTGTAACATTAAGCCAAATGTTTTAGAAGAAAAAAGCACCATAATTTCAAGAAATTACCTCCATATTGTAAGACTCTCGAAGGCGAGGCGGCAGAAGCAGGTTCTTCATTGTCCCATCTGACAGTAACCTTGAGTTGATACCATCTAAACGCACAAATAAACATAAGAATGATGGTGTGCATGATTCAAAACAAACAGGAAAACACAAGAACTCCCTCATACCCTTGCTGGAAAAGATCAAGGTTATGAAACCTATGGATGTAAATTGCAATCTCGTGGACGGTATCCAACATGACGACTGGCTGTAATTTAGCTGGGCGCGGCTTTGCATCTGGTAACCTCTTTCCTTGCCCACTTGTCTATTTTTTCCTTCCCCTCAAATCCATTTCTCTATCGTTCAAATCATTTCTCTAACAGCTCTCTGTAACAAAAAATGTTTTTTTTTTAAATTCTCCTTGTAGAAAACTAAAACGGAAAACTGCAAACAAGGAATTGTAATCGTACTCGTTTTAAGAAGTTCAACTCAGAATTCAAATGTGATGATGCCAATAACACACAACATTATAACAATGTTGCTGTTTAAACCTATGTGTAAACACAATTGAATTAGGTTGTTTAGAATAAAATTATGAATTTTAATTTACAACCTCAAAAAGGCTAGATAGGAACAGGCATGAAGAGTTGCAAATTGGCGTTTAAATTAAAATAAACGCGAATCATGAAAAAAGAAAATTGATGAGCCCAAGAGATAGAAACAGAACACGGACAAACCTGGGATTAGATCTGTAATTTTTTTCTTTTTTTTTTTTTGTGAGACAAAAATGCAATCTAGGTTTCTTTAAAAAAAACAAAATTAAAATAAAAAGAGCATTGAAAAATAAATGAAATGGGGAGATTTCCTCGCAATGCGGTGATCTTGTCTTTGTTTCTTCATTCTGTGTGGAAGAACAAAAAGAAAAGTAATTTAATTTTTCATTTTTATTATAATGTTTCCTGTTTTAACGTGTTGCATGAATTATGTAATGGAGCCGAGTCGAGCTAAAATATTTTTAAGCTCGACCCAAATCGAAAATTTTAAAATAAAGCTAAATTTGGTTTAAAAACATGTGAGTTTCGACTCAAACTCGAAACCATGAATTAAAGCTCGAAAAAAAAACTCTAAATAAAAAAAAATCTAAAACTACACAAAGAAAAGATATGAAGTAGCAGGTGCTATGGCAGCGTTAGCGATGAATAAACGGCCATGGGGCTGCATGTTTTTTAGGGCTGCCCCAGACGAGATACCACAGGTTTTACACAACGTATGAGAATGTTACTGCCGTAACAAGTTTGTATTTCTCTTTTTACCAAAAGATAAAAATCGCAAGGATCATGTGCTGAAACTTTTCAAATTTTCTGAACCAAAAGAAAAAAATCGAAAACTTATTTAATTGATAAACAATTTAATTTTATGCAGTCTGAGAATCTAACCGTGAATATCTGTTGACTTATCTGTTGACTTAAGGCTTAAGTGTATTTTGTGCATTGACGCTAAGTCGATGTCAAAGGAAATAAAATAAGATCTGACATAAAGGAAAAGTAGTCCCCTTCTATTGAAAAACAAAGAGAGAGTAAATGATCTATAAATATGTGAAATTCAGTTTCCTATGTTGTTTGTTCATTACTTTAACATATACATTGATGAAATTATTCAACAAAGAAAAATCAAATTATTCAGTTGATTCGATGAATGTGACTTGAATTATTATTAGCTGCCGCCATGGCCATCCCGTAGACCCCTGTGCATCTCGTAAGTGGAGTGTTTTGGTGATGGTATATAGGCGGTAACCAACGTGCCGGGTAGGCCGTGTTTCACGAGATTAGGCATCTTGAATTCCAACTCCAAGTAAAGTTCGCCACGTTTTTCTTCACTCGTCAAACCCATTTCAACAGGGTGAATCAAAATTCCAACTTGCATTAAAAAGGAAAGCAGGGGAGCTCTGTTTCATAGTTTTTTTTTTTGTTGAAAAACTGTTTCAGAGATATTTGTCTCGGAAATATTTGTCCAAAGGCTACTGACTGATATAATAGATTCCAACCAACAGTGAAAAAAATCCAAACTACTGTTAACCAGTCAACTTGAATTAAGCAAAGCTGGTTAAGTTTTGAGACCATTGTCACTTAGACATTTTCTTTTTTAGTTTATAACACGTCGTCATACTTGGAATGTTTCTTTTGGTTGTCTTTTACAGAATGTTTGCTCCTTTGAGAATTCAGACTAAATTGTCCTGACTGTGGGGATATGCCTCATCTTGAAATTTCCAACAAAATCAATCAAATTGCCGTAAGATAGAAAGAGACTAAAAGGGGACACAACTTTAAGATAGTTTTGAGTTAGTCAGTTGTATGACAGAAATTTTCTTCATCCAAGTCGTGAGGAGTGCACGTGAAAGTGATATCACTATATGGAGATTTAAAAGTCGATGGAACTTATAATTATAGCGAGCAGCCCCATTATCAGCACGGTTCATGGTTGTGCTAAAACGTTTCCATATTCCACGGCTAATGCTTGGCTACCTAATTATTTATTTATTTATTTTTTTTTAAAAAATGGGTACTTTGTATTAATAGGATACAAGATACACCACCCCATGAACCTCATTAAAAAAAACCTCCCTAAACCTATTGGAGGAAAAAGAGTGAACCATGAGGTGGAAAAAACAGGACTAACACACATATAAACACATATGGAAGAGCAGCATACACATAGCCACAAGACTCCCCTGCAGAAGAGCACTAAAACAGAACTCAAGAATTGCGACTATATAATAGGCCAACCTCGAACTTCCGGCTAAATCGAGAACAACATGGGAACTACACTGGCCATAAAAGATCAACCAAAACTCCAATCTGCAATACCTGCAGCTCCAGAACATATCAACTAAAGAAAAAACACAAACCAGAAAATCAACGAATAGCATCATCTACCACCCAACAAGCCTCCACTATATAACCCGAGACTCACTCCAGCTCAGACAAAAACTACACAAATTCACACTAAAACTACCTAAGACACTCCACGAAGAAGACAACTCTGATGCACCTCTCGACACATTTCGAACTACCAAAGCTCCTATAGAACCCCAGTTTTGGGACTACATAACATAATACCAAGTTGCTTATCTAAATACATTGTCTCCTGCGCTTCCACAAAAGTTTCATCCCACCTTTGCTTTAATACAAAATCTGAAATAGAAGTACCTAATAATTCAGAGAACAACAGATCCGACTTATTAAAATTGAATTTCTTTAGCGCTCGATCTATTCTTCTCTCGGCTTTAGATAGGACTTTACTCTGAATATCTAATATAGATCCGAATTTATTCAACTTCATATTAAAACTAAAGGACTGATGCGGCACGACCGACGACTCCTCAAAGTCACACCCAGCATTCACAGAATTTGAATTTGGCTTATTAAATGAAATTACTTTTTCACTATCACATGCAAGAATTGGACCCACTTTTAATTCATCATCCTTTCCCCCGGACAAACATTATTATACTCAACTAATGTATCAACCTTAGTGCCTATCCCACGTGGAAACCCACAATCTGGTGAACCATCACCATCCCCTATAACCATCCCACTAACCTCCTTCCTTGAAGCATCTACTAAAAAGGACTTACCAATATTAAAACCATCACGCACTACACCATCAACCTCCACTCTCTGAAGCCCCACGTGATTGGATGAATTTGGAGTTTGAAAACCATCGTGCTCTCTACCAACTTCGATACCACAACCTCCCATGGTCGGATCCCCAACATGATCCTTGAAAACATCTCCAAAACTTTCTTTATTGCACGCTTCAGAAAAGATGCCACCACTGGAAATGGGGTTCCCATTCTTGCCGAGTGAGCTTCCCGACGCAGCAGATTCCACCGCCAGATCAACGGACCGATTAGCCGATGGAACACCCTCGTTAGCAGTCCCAAACTCTAGAACTTTAATAGAGACTACACGACCTTCAATGAAAATGGAGACTTTCTCAGATAAGGAACCGTACTGAACTTCCACCAATACCTTGGCAACAGAAAGCTTTGAAGGAAACCTTGCTACACCGTCATCACCAACCCTAACATGAACACCTGCAACAGAACTAAAATGAATCCCAGTCTGCTGACCAACAAACTTCTGAACTGGAAACCCACCTGCTACCGACACACCTCCCTCCACCTCTTTAAACGACCTAACGTCCCTTAATACTGGCCTCCATACCTTATTAATCCTTCTTACACCATCAACCTTCTTGCAAAGTCTTACAGGATTATTGTCGTGGAAAACTCTGATTTTGAAACCATCCAAAACCCTACCATCAGCTCTTTTCACCGCCAAGCTCGCTTCATCTCTATTACTGAACCTAACGAACACAAAAGTAGAGTCCTCGAATTTTCTTTTCAAACTCTTATACACAATGAACACATCCAAAACAACATCATAGACCTGGAACTCTTCCTTGAGAGAAGAAACGTGAATCCTCTTACTAACATAATTAACAAAAATCATGAAACCCGAGTCTCTCAAGGTTTGGGAGCACATCACACTCACTCACACCTACGTTGTTTAATTTGGATTGACTACCTAATTATTTATATAGCCTATCTGTTTGGAAAAAAGATCAAAGAGCCTAAGAGTAAAACAAAGCAAGATATTATATTGCTAGGAAGACAAGGTGAGGCCTAATTTCTAAGTACATGTGTTCCTCGGTGTGTTAGGGGAAAAGAAGTGAAGTCAAAACTCGGATTTGCTGTGCATAGTTCTGGAATCACATTGGATGGTTAACATCGAAATATCATATTTCCCAGAACCAATGTATGGGGAGTGGGGACAGCCCATACGAGTAAAAACCGAAAAGCACAAGCGACGACCATCCAACGTGCCCAAAAACACTCCACTGCCCTACGGCTCCAAGCCTCCAACGTTAGCCTATATATGTTTGCCTTTCTCTCTAAACTCATTACCCTTCCTTGCAGGCCTCAAAGCAAGTTGTATTTTTATCCTTTCCTCCCGTCATATGAGGCTTGTTTTCAACTCATTATCATTTGATCCTCGAGGCTGAAGAGATGGCAAAAGAGATGCAAAAGACTAGCATGTTCATTGAGAGAAACCCTGTAGATTATGAGAATGGTGATATCTGCAAGAACTTGGATGATGATGGTCGAGTCAAAAGAACCGGTAGTTATTCGTATTTCTTCTCCTCAATGGCTTAGCATTATACTAATTTTGATCATGGTGCTTATTTAGCTTTGATTTTTTTTTATTTGAATGGACTTGGCTTACTGCAAGTGCTCATATTATCACAGCAGTGATTGGATCTGGAGTCCTGTCTCTTGCATGGCCATTGCCCAGTTGGGTTGGGTGGCTGGACCGGCTGTCCTCATGGCTTTCTCCTTCATCGCCTACTTCACCTCCACCCTTCTTGCTGATTGCTATAGGGCTCCTGATCCTGTCCATGGAAAGAGAAACTATACTTACATGGATATTGTTAGAGCTTATCTAGGTACTAATTTCAGGCGTTAATCTTCACATTAATTCCATATTAATTGATTGTTTACTGTTCCAAGAGAATACCGTATTTTAAAGAGAAACTACTTCCCCATGTAGATAATTCAATTCAATCCCACGGGAACCATTAATGAAACATCAAAATTTATGCTTATCTTTTGCAGGAGGAAGAAAAGTCCAACTCTGTGGATTAGCTCAGTATGTAAATCTTCTGGGAGTAACCATTGGTTACACTATCACAACATCAATCAGCATGGTGTAAGCAGGGCCGGCCCAATATATGTGCCAGATGGGCGACGGCCGAGGGCAGCATGCAGGGGCATCAGTTTTACTAAGTTCCCTGTAGCCACAAAGGCAATTTCAGGTAGTGAATTTTTCCGGTTTATTATTTTTATGATATTTTATTAACTTTCATTGTTAATATGCAAAGATTGTGAATCCTAAAACTGGAGAAGCGAAGCCAGTCGTAATTTCGGTGGATGATGGTGTATCCGCCCAGAGACAAACATGGCAGGTCTAGCAAAATTGAAGCCTGCATTTAAGAAAGATGGAACCACAACTGCTGATATATATACGAATCAAATTTGTGAAAGTTTATACTCTGACCAGAACAATATTTGATCTGAATGAAAATTTTTGTCCCAATTTTTTCTTAGGAAATGCTAGCCAGGTGAGTGATGGTGCAGGAGCAGTCCTCCTTATGAAGCGAAGTTTGGCCATGCAGAAAGGACTTCCAATCCTTGGTGTTTTCAGGTAATCAAAACTGCCACAACTTGAGTGTTGAGTTTGAGTCTTGTGTATTAAAACTCATTGGACCGGCCCTGGGTGTAAGTTTGAGTCTTGAGTATTAAATTACCTCCCTCTGACTATGACAATGGTTTTCTTAATTGTTGTGTCCTATTTAGTTGTAAAATCAGGGCCGTCAAAAGGTCAAATTGCTTCCACAAGCATGGCCATCAGGTGAAGTGCCAAACATCCTACAACCCTTTCATGGTCATCTTTGCTTGCATCCAGATCTTTCTCAGCCAAATCCCAAACTTCCATAATATTTCGTGGCTGTCGATTCTTGCTGCCGTCATGTCTTTCGCTTATTCTTCCATTGGCCTTGGACTTTCCATCGCCAAAGTTGCAGGTAACTTTAACAGCTGATAAGAACGACGTTGTTTCTGGTTTATTCATTTGATAGAGTGACTTTAATTTCATGTAAATCTAACTCTTCCGTTAATTAACATCAAGGTGGGGAACATGTGAGGACAACCTTAACCGGAGTGACGGTAGGGGTGGGCGTGTCAGGATCTGAAAAGATTTGGAGGACATTCCAAGCTATTGGAGACATTGCCTTTGCCTATGCTTATTCTACCATCCTGGTTGAGATTCAGGCAAGTATTTGCATATTTTCAAATATATATTAATCACTTTTCGAGTAAGATAATGTAAGATTCTGATATCCAAAGATTCCTATGGACCAGAATGTTTCAGAATTTGGTCCATAGATTCTACTGCATTTTTCAAAAGGAGAAAAGTAAGTGAGTTTTATTTTTCCAACTTCTCTTTTATCAGTTATCATGACTCTATTAGCACAGCAGATTTTAACGTCCGAAATAGTTGAGTATCAACTTTTTTTGTCCCATCTCAAAAAAGAATAACCTTTTTCAAAGTGCAGCCTGATCTAAATGGTGAGAAAGGGATATGTACAAAGAAATTTTAAAGTTAATTACTTTTTTCCCTTCATGAATTCAGGACATGATCAAATCCAGTCCACCAGAGAACAAATCAATGAAGACAGCAACAACCCTTGGTGTCTCAACGACGACTCTATTCTATGTCGTTTGCGGCCTTGTCGGATATGCAGCCTTCGGAAAGGATGCACCAGGAAATTTCCTTACTGGCTTCGGCTTCTATGAACCCTTTTGGTTGATCGACTTCGCCAACATCTGCATTGCCATTCATCTTATTGGAGCATACCAGGTCAAACAAGCATATTTCATATGCATACATATATATATTAACAAGATTCAATCTCATTGATGACCCAGGTCTAACATGGTTAATAAATATATCCAGGTATTTGCCCAACCTTTATTCGGATTCATCGAGGGCTGGTGTGCCAGACGGTGGCCTGAAAACAAGTTCATTACAAGAGAACATGGTGTTGATGTTCCACGCTATGGTGTTTATTACATCAACTTCTTCAGGCTGGTGTGGAGGACAGCCTACGTTATTCTGACAGCCGTAGTAGCCATGATATTTCCTTTCTTCAACAATTTCTTGGGACTCATCGGGCCGGCTCATTTTGGCCATTGACGGTCTACTTCCCGATAGAGATGCACATTGCTCAAACGAAATTGCCCAAGTACTCGTTCAGGTGGATATGGCTGAAAATACTGAGCTGGGTTTGCTTAATCGTTTCACTCATTGCTGCCGCTGGATCTGTTCAAGGACTGATTCAAAGCCTTAAGACATACAAGCCATTTCAGACTCAGGATCGACCCTCTCGCCTACAATGCTTTGATTCTGTGTAAAATGTTGGAAGCCTTTTGTTTTCTTAATGTGCTGCCTTCTGCACTTGGTGGCAAAAGCAGCTTTAAAGCTCCATCTAAGATGTAAGAAAGTATAGTGATGCATGAAATCCAACATTATGCGCTGATGATGTAATTAAATTTACCAGACTATGAATATGTCAATGCAAAATGCCACATGTTTCAATAAGTGCTTTTTGAAGTTTGATTGGCCGGGTTCGGCTGGATTAACCTGGTCATGGCTATGGGCCTTCTAGCCCAACTCATTGCTGACAACATTTTTAATATAACCAAAATATGGGAAGAGATTAGGAATCTAACAAAGACTGCGAGATTGACTTGAAATTTGATTAATTAAGTTACAATCAATGATAACAAAAACATATTGACTTGCACAAAAATCAATGATCATCAAATTAAATAAATAAGTTAAATTATCGGTGGAATAATAATTAAATTAAACAAAATGCAAATTAAACCTACAAACCTTTTTATGGAGTTATCTTCACGATGAGAGGGGCCTTAGCACCAACCTTCTTATGGTTGAATTGTTTTTTAAATCCTATTAACTTTAAAATGGATAAAATTGTCATGTCCAACCCAATGTTCTTGTTCATTCGTCAAATTTTATTAGTTTTAGACTTCATTCATTTTGTTAAATTGTTCTTTCAACCGGTATTAACTTGGTTACAGCAGCACTTAGTCCTCTCCCAAATGACTGAACCAAACATCAAATCCCAGTTTTCATTAACTCTCGGATAGTGCTTGCCATTTCTCAAGTTAACCCAGTTCACTAGGTCCAAAGTGAAAAACTCCGTAGTCAATCTGCTTTTATCAAAGAAATCCAAACTGGCATTGCACAGGGACGATCCCGAAGGATATGATTTGAGGACTCCACACATTCAACAGCTAGGATCCAAGGTTAAGTGCCGACGAGCTCTCTCCTCGCTCGAGAGTAATCTGTCTTTGCAAATTACCCACAGCAAATTTTTAATTTTTGGCGAACCACCAAACTTTGTAATCACCGCCCAGATGGGGTGAACTTCCCCTGCCGCCAATCTCGTGCGTTTCGAGCAAGCACGAATTTTCGATGTTTGTCCCATCACCGTCGTGGTAAGTCCGGTCCACTATCCCTTTGAAGGAGGTAAGACTGCCTGCACAGCTAGGAGAATCGGCTAGGAAAAGGCCTCTTGCTGTATTGAATTGCTTCGAATGGAAGGGGTTTTGTCCCTCTGTTACAATGTATCGAGAGAAAGGAAAAAAACTAGGGGGAGCTCTGTTACAATATTTTTTTCGAAAGATGGGGTCCGGTCCTCTATTACATCTTCTTTTTGGGTTTATATAATAACCTTACAACAATATCAGAGAGAAAAAAATTTCTTTTTACAATTTTCGTTTTGTTTTTGTCTTTGCATGCGACTCTGATTTGGTTATTACTGTACGAGGGGATGCTGAATGCCTAAGAAGATAGGAGACCAGAATGGGAGAGGCACCACTGTTGCTTGGTGAGCTGGAAGCCATTGTGGGGGACCAAATGGTGTAGCGAACGATGGTGGCTGTTGACTGGGATCACCGGTCACGATATTTGAAATCTGAAGAGGCTCTTGCTGGCGACGCAAGTGTGAAAGGGCGACAAAACCCTAATTTCCTTTGATGATCCAGCACCGTTAGATCTCCTTTATATCTAACGGATTCTACTTTGGCGGCGCAGTGAGCTTCAGAGAGGGCTAGGGTTTATGTTTTGTAGCCTTAGATTAAACGGGTCTTGGTAATTGCAAGTGTATGAGCTTGATGGGTCAATGGATGGTCTGTAAATGACTGAAAGATGCATATGTAATTGGGTTATAGGGTATTCAATTTGGGTTTTAGGGCTGCTGGATTAAATGTAATGGATTTGGGTTGAATTTGGTAATGAAAATGGGTTTGCATTTGGGTAAATGGACTTGGGCGTATGGGTTTAATTTGGTTTGGACATATTTTTGGTGTTTGGGTATTGACCAAAAGCACCATGTAGTCTCGAATCCGATTAACCCAATTAAGCAACGACTTTCATTCATCATTCACGACCAAAGTTTCCATTGATCGAACCCAAGCAAAAGTATGGGTTATTTGTTGTTCACGTCGCCAATACCTTTGAATTAACTTGATATCTATCAATGCCTGAGCATTTGAAAATAATCATCGATTCCTCTCACTTCAATTTGAACTGCTCGGTCAAAATTAGGTTATGACAAAGATAAATTATATCGTATATATAAAAAGTAATATAATATAATATAAATTTTAAAAGTGAATTGAGTCTAACTCAAATTTTAAATGTAATAGTCCTAATTTAACACATTTTTAAATAAATCCAATTTTTTTTATCGAAACTTATATTTGGAATCTAAATTTTTTGTTCATAGCCTCCTATTTTCAGTCTTTGAGCTCATACAAATAGCCGAACCCTTCACGTGGTTCCAAACCTATCTACTTCAAGAAGAATGGTAAACAATACCAAAAATAAATTGTCTAAATTGGTATTTTAATCATATTTAATTAGTGTTTAAAACACCTATTAATCAAATTATATAAAATTCATAACGTGTAAAGTGATAAATAAAGAAATACAATTAATGAAATATTATTTTACGTAAAAAAATACTAATCAAATTATTGAATCCTTATTCTCCAAGTTATGAATACACGGATTAAAAGGGAAGTTGAAAGTCAAAAAGTCGGGTAAATATTTTTGTTTGAACTAATGCAATGCATTCTCTCAACGTTTTCTAAATTTCAAATTTCTTTGGGCCAAAGAAACGACAAAAAATGGCGAATAGGAACAATCTGACGTGGCATGGCAAAGTAAACCAATCGAAAAGGTACTTAGCCTGCAAGTTTGATCTTTTAGTAATCTGCCCTCTCGTCTCGAACGAACGTTTGTTGCGGGCCCCATAATTCCGTAACCGCCTCAATCTGAATTATCTTAAATGCCCTGTTCATTTCCACCAATGCCATCTAACGGTCATGCATGTGAAGGCCTGAGTTGTAATTTCATTAAAACCCTAATCCAGATTCTTCACGGATTTTTCATGCTTTGAGCGCGTTTATATAAAGCGGGTTCCCATTTCTTTCTCTTCCGATTCTCCCTGTTGTTTGTCTGCTGCTTTTGGTTGAGAATTCTGAAGAATTATTTAATTTATATTGGTTTTCGTAATTTATAGTTCCAAGAAAGCTCAACAGCGACGATGATGAAGGATCTGGTGGAATCCATCGGCGTTAGGGCTCCTCCTCCTCCTCCGCCGCCGCCATCAATTTCCTCTTCGAAAAGGCCAAAAAACCGCGTCGGTGGTAGTTGCAGCGCCCGATCTGGTTTCTGGAAACGAGTTTTCTCGCAGAACAACTCCAATTTCGGACGAAGTGCGGTTCCGTTGCGGTTCATGTACTTTCGAAATGATTCGTGGATTAATTTCTCGGTCGATGTTGTAGAAACACTACGAGCCGGTTTCTTGGAGCGGAAACCGATTATCGAAGCATCGATTGACGGTGCGAAGTACATATTTGATTTGAAGAGGATGTTGCAGATCGAATTCTTGACGGGAAATTGCCGTTCAATTTCTTGGATCGACGAAAGCGGCAAGTGTTTTTTCCCTAGCGATTTTTTTAGCGAAGAAGAATTAATGGAATCAGATTGTAGCGAGTGGGATGATGATACTAGTTGCAATTATAAAAATAGGGATAACAATTGCAATCCTAAGATTGAAATTGAGGTTAAGATTGATCGAAGTTCAATCAAGAGAAAGAGTGAGGAGGAGCCTGAAGTGAGTTCCTCTTACAGGGCGGCCGTTGGAAGTGGGTCGATTAAATGTCAGCGTTTGGAGGAGGGAGGAGCTGCTAAATGGCCTAATACGAAGCAGTTAAAAGAAACAGAGAGCGCGTATTTGCTCATCAAGGATCATTTCTTGATCGGGATAAGGAAAGTTCATGCTGAGGTTAGGATTGCTGCAATTCATCAGTGTAAGCGGGAATCGCATTTCGACAAGGCTCGTCTCGAGGTTTTCCAAAAGCAGGTTGAGATTACCAAGGCTGCAAGAGGCACTTCAAATATAGTTTATGCATGGTTTGGGGCTTCCGCCAAGGTCGCGGAAAGTGTTCTGGTCCATGGCTTTGGGTTGCCTAGTAAGCTTCTTGCGACTGATGTTTATGGGATTGGCGTTTATTTATCTCCCCTAGGTTTGCCACACTTGAGGTAATTGATTACTGATCTTTTGTTATTATCATTAGCAGGTTAGTTTCAGTCATAATTCAAGGCTCAAGCTAAAGTGCCGGTTTGGGCAGTTTTCTTAATCTAGAAGTGGTAGTATTTTTTCTATACCCGTCAATCTCAAGATTGAACGAATATCCAAGTCTTGACAAGTTGTTTATACGTCTCATTACTCGAATTTTTTTTACTTGATTCGATTGAAGACTCAGCCCTAGTTTCATTACTCAATACGTTCATTTCTATTTTGGTAATTTTCAACTTTTATATTGTTATTTTGATCTCTGTTTAATTTTGGATTTATTGTTGCAGTGCAAAGCTGGCCGATGCTGATGATAATGGTCTAAAACATCTTATTCTGTGCCGGGTAATATTGGGGAATGTTGAAAAAGTGGAAGCTGGATCGGAACAGTATCTCCCGTCTACTGTAGATTTTGATACTGGTTCTGATGATCCCATGAACCCAAAGTGGTATGTAGTATGGTCAACGAATGCAAACATGCATGTTCTTCCCGAGTCTGTTGTGAGTTTCAGACCTTCTACTAACATGCAAGGTAAGCTTTTCTACTCTCTTTGGTATACTTTTTCTTCTTCCTTAACATACTTTAGAAGCTAATGTTTTGTACGTTTTCTTGTAGATCAAGTGAGGCCGGCCATGGGTGTTAAGTATTCCCTTGATAGATTGTTTTCGAAGATTAAGAACTCTCTTCCTCCCGTCAAAGTCCGGGAAATATTGATGACTTACAGCACATATAAGGTAAATTAGGGTGCTTGTCTATTAGATGAAGATATATATTGTTGCTTGTAATGGAAGTTGCATTTTAAAATCTATGCAACATTCTGATATTCTTTTTCAATTGTTTACCACAGGCTGGAACGATAGCCAAGGATGCTTTTGTAAGGAAATTACGTGAGGTTGCTGGGGATGAGGTTCTGAGATCTGCTATTCAGGAGATCAATGCTTCTGGATGATTTGGAAGTGTTGAAATTGTTTGGGATACCTAATTTATTTTGCCTATACTATTTGGAGAAGAAAAAAACCAAATTTAATTGTTACCTCACAACTAGTACAGGCAACCACTAAAACAGCAAAATATGTTCCTAGCGTTTATTTATTTAGGGGTTCAGTGTTCCTTTTTGTTTTACAGCTCAGTACATGTAGCAATCATGATTCAAGAAATTAAGTTCCCAATTTCGGTCTCCGAAATTCTCATTTTCCTTTTTACAACAGAATTTATCCTCTGGACTGTGTACCATCTAAAGATTGTAAAGTGATGAGGAAATGAGCAGCTAAGGTTCTCTGATAGTTTTACATCTTCAGCAGCTACCCTCTGATAACATTAATATATTGTCGCATAAGCTCTAAAAGGCTTGTTCCTCTTCACTTGCTAACATTATTTACTTCACCCTGGGCAGTTCCACCTGTATCTATTATACAGTTATGTATACATCCATGGGTTCCTTTTTGCTGTTGAGGCTTCATCTAAAACACTACTTGGTTCCTCAAGTTGTATTTTTGGCTTTTAGTGTCATAGTTTCGAAGAGGATTTCTTTGGAAACTCTTTAGGATTTACTACAGCTTTGTTACTGATTAATGGCCGTTGATCAATTGAAGGTTGATTGTTTCCATTGTATCTTTTGCTACAGTTGAAAGAGCCAAATGATCACAGGCATCGGACGACAATGGTTACATTTCTTTTACGTTATGACTTTCATGTTGTTCAAATAGAAAGAACTAGAAAGTGGGAACTGTGACTTCACCTTATGTTTGTTTTTCAATCTGCATGTCTCCTCGCTATGGTTTTAATTTGTGTTATAGATTTAGGGTTATGAGAGAAAGAGGGAATTTCTAGAAAAGAAACATCATTCGACAATTTCATAAAATCCTTCTCAAAGAATAATCTTATTTGTTTACAATGCACTGGATTTTCCATAGCTGGCTGTCCTTCTAACAGTCTCAACGGTCTGTACAGGTGTTTCCCCTGATCTGGTTGGGCTTCATTGTTCGGGCTGTTATCATCAGCTTCCATGTACGATTTTCCCTTCTCATTTCTTGTATCATGTGCTTCTCAGGTGTTCCTCTTTTTAATTGATTCAATTCCAAAATTCCCCAATTGACATTTGAAATCCCTAACCATTCTGCAATTCCCAATCTCATTTTTTCACGTCCTTCTCCTCCTCTTTCAACCGTGACAATATGTTATTTAGTTGTTTTATTTTTTTATTTTAAACTAAATCGTAGCATCTTTTTTCTGCAGTTTGATGCATCAGATGACAAGAGATAAGAGGGTTGTCTTTTTCTCATCATATTTACCTTCATATTACAGGATCAGACCAAACCTATTGAAAGGAAGGAGAACTACTTGAATGATAAACTAAGCTATGGTAATCAAGTACCAAGCTTCTTTTGTACCTTTACTTTGCCCTCATCCATCGTAATCTATTTTTTAGGTGATACGGGATGGACTGAGGGAAAGATGGGGGCAGTTGACTCTTGAAAATTTAAAATTATTATATCTTTTAAATTTTTTATATGTATTTTCTATTGAAACTTTGTTTTTGCCCCTTAAAGCTTTATAAGTTCAAGTTCGTTTCTTACCATAAATCTTGCATCAGTCCCTATGATCGTCCATCTTTTAATAGAGAGTTCAACTTCTTTTTGTAGCGGTATTGAGGTTGCGGAAGCAGCCAAAGCATGTAACATCGCAGGGGCTTTTGGCTAAAGGTTTAACAAGGTTGGCAACTTGGCATGCTATCCATGAGTTTCTCTCGACAATTGTAGACTGTGTTCTTGAATTGTTTCTCTTTCTCTATTCGGTTTGATGCTTTGGTGTACTATCAATATTCACTCTACTCGGTTCTTGTTTTGCCTGGATTTTGACACTTCCTCATAAAGGGTAATAACTACTACACGTAGTTTGCCTTCTTTTTGACCAACTTCTGGACCATGCTTATAGGAATGAATAACTAATTTACTAAGATCGGTTATGTGTTAATATTATTTGCCTATGATATTTGAAGTTGCCTCTTTGTGAACTTCGAGTTGAGGGCACGTACCATTTGTACACTACACGGTCAGCTCTGGAGAGAGATTTGCTCTTTGCAATCAGCTTGTCAGGGCTGGTAATCTACTAGTGACATATTGTAATAAGTGATGGATCCTAAAATTTAATATAAAATTTTAATTTCTTTTTTTTAAGATAATGGATATACAAAAAATTATTTTGCTTAATATATTTAACTAAATTATTTTTTAAAACAATGGAATATATTTAAACTCTATGAGAGTTTTGTGCATTCGTCCTTAGTTCTAATTTTGCTCCGCGATTTTAGTCGTGGAATTACAAGAAACCGAAGAAATGACGAGTGGAATGCATGACTCCATGTGTTCATCATCTCATGAAAGTTGTACGCACTTTCACATTTTCTACGAAGCATGTGCAATTTCGATTGATTTCGTGACATCGTACATCAATTTTATCTCGATACATAATTTTAATCATTGATAATATATAGATTTGTTTTTGAAATTTTAGTGGTCTTCAGGTGAACTAAAAATTAGATACCTAATTAGGGATTTAAATTACAGTTTGCATTTGTATATTTGACTTTGTTGTGTTTATTGATATTGCATACATAACTGATGATATTACGGTCACTGCAAGTATCGTGGTTGTGAACTTTTAATAATATATGCTATTTTGGATATAACAATTGTGGATATCACGGTTTCGAACGATGTCATTACCACTGCATAACGATTATTGTTGTAGTTACAGATTGTTATTTAAGTAATTGTTTCTAATAACAAGTGGTGAAAAAATAAAATTTAGAGAAAATAACCTCAGTGACCAAAAATGCCTTATAATATACGATTTTAACCAACTTTTTTTGGATTTGCCAAAATGACCAACTAAATCGCAATGCGATCGATAATTCGCAACGCGATCTCCGGTATCGCAAATCAGTTTCCAGATTCGCAACGCGATTCTGACTATCACATTGCGATTTTCCAAATTCGCGTTGCGATTTTCCTAATTCGCAATGCGAATACGTAAATCGCAACACGAATTTGGAAAATCGCAATGCAAATACGTAAATCGCAATGCGAATACATAAATCGCAACGCGAATCTGACTATCGCAATGCGATTTACATAGCGCCATTCGTATCCAACGCGTATTTTTTTTCAAATTCCAAACACGAATATATTAATATATCGGAACACTGAACCGTCCACAGTATATCCCGTAATCGCAACTCATAACCTAAAACCCTAAATCACAACTCAGTCTCATCTCCATCTCTCACTCTCTAAGGCGACATCCGTCCCTATCTCCGACGAAATCAGTCCCCATCTCCGACGATATTAGTCTCCATCTCCGGCGAAATCATTCACAGTCAGAAATGGAAAATCAACCAAATCAACCACTGAGGGTTAGTTTTTTTAATTATTTTTATTTTAAAATTTTTGCATTATTATTAGGTTTTTCATATTGAAATTGATGATAAGTTTACTGGTGTTTTCAATAATAGATTAACCATTTCACTTAGATTGCTTATTATATTCATTCGATTGCTGCCAATACTGCTAAATTGTTTAGTCTTTAACCCTGTGAAGTTAGTATTTGTCTTTGTTTTGTCTTTTGGTTGAAGTAATGCAATCCATTCAAGTTTCTTTCAATTTTAGTATTTGAAACCGAGAATGACTATCGCAATGTGATTCTTTCGTGTTGCGATTTTCATTTTCATGTTGCGATTTTAAGTTTCAGAAACTATTCTTCTTCTGCAAATTGAAACTTGAATGATTTGCATTACTTCAACCAAAAAACAAAGACAAATACTAAATTCACAGTGTTGCAAATTTAAGTTTGAAGAATAAACTACTACTCTTTATGTTTATTGTTCTTGTTATATCTTCACAGTGTAGTTTTTGGTATATCTAACTTGGTATGTTTATTGTTTTTGTAGAACTTTTATTCGGCTCAATTGACCTTAAGAAATAAAGTAAGCCTGGCCAAAACAATTGCGTCGAAGCTTTCATCTGTACAAAGAAAAATATTTGAGGATACTTGCTTCGGGCCATGGCTGAAAGTACAACATCCGGGTGGAGATGCTATGTTGACCCATCTGTTTCTTCAAACCATGACTAGCGATCTACCAGAGACTATACAACATCGTGATGAACATATATGGTTTGATTTTCCACCGGCGTATACGTGTTTTGGACGGGAGGAGTTTTGCTTAATCACCGGTCTACGCTTCGGACACGGTGATGTAGATCGGTACACTAGACATATTACCCGCCTATCATGGTTTTCCCGGGTTTTTCCTGAGTTGTCGAATTTATACGTGGAAGACTTGATGAGATTATTGAATAAGAAAGATGGTTTTACTCGGATGGATGACGTCGATGTTGTCCGAGTATGCCTTCTAATACTTTTGCAAGCCGACTTTTTAGGCAGAGAGGCCCGACAACCTATTCCTAATGATCTAATTAAATTGGTAGAGGGCCTAAATGCATGGAACCTGTTTCCGTGGGGTTCGTATCTATGGAGAGCTACATGGAATAAGTTGTCATCTGCCTTTGATGATCGGAAAAGTTTGCGTGGCGATGGTTCCAAATACACTTTGTCAGGCTTTATTTGGGCCTTTAAGGTAATAGTTTTTATATAATGTTTCCAAAATTATAATTAATTCTTTAATAATTACTAATGTTTGTTATTATATTGTTTGTAGATTTGGATATTTGAGGCCTTTCCCGCCATGCAGACATATGCATTAAAAACTTCTAATGATATTCCTAGGGCTATTTCCTGGAAGAGGAAACGGTCCTTACAGCAATGGAAAGATTTACTACCGTATACTACAATAAATAATGTAAGTTAACACAAATACTACCATATGTTTATAAACAAGTTATTACTAGTACACGTTTAACTTTGTTTGAGCTTTTATATTGTTAGGAGGCCAACACTCCATTACAGAGGCTGACACCCACGGAAGCTGAGCTTGCCACTGATTGGTGGCAAGCTAGTAAGCTTTTTTTTGATGGCACAGATGATGAGCAGCCACCACTTTGAGAGCCATCACCTCACCCAGAGCCATCACCTGATCTACCCAAATATACACCTCCACAACGAGAGTCATCACCTATTCTGTCACATCATCGA